CTACCTACCTACCTATCCATCCATCCATCCATCCATCCATCCATCCATCCATCCATCCATCCATCCATCCATCCATCCATGCCTTCGATCTACCGACCTACCTACCTACCTACCTACGTACCTACGTACCTACCGATCTATCTATCTATCTATCTATCTATCTATCTATCTATCTATCTATCTATCTATCTATCTATCTATCTATCATCTATCTATCTATCTATCTTCTACCTACCTACCTACCTACCTATCTCTATCATCTCTCAGTCTCTATCATCTACCTGTATCTGTCTGTCTCTCTGTCTCTCTGATCTATCCATCCATCCATCCATCCATCCATCCAACTACCTACCCACCCACCCACCCATTATTGCATGCATCCATGCATCCATCCATCCATCCATCCATCATAATATCTATCATCTTACCTACCTACCTACCTTTATCAGTATGGAATCCCAAGATCACATCCATGCTGTTTTTATATGTCGATTAAGGTTAGTTCTATGCCAGTGATTTCTCTTAGGATCTTACTTCAGATTTCATCTCTTCTGATTGTTTCCCCAAAGATCTCATTTCCGTGGCAACTCACTTCCATTTATGTTTTATTGTTAAGTAACCTTCACACAACTGCTTCCAATAAACTCATCTGCAGAGATTTCTCTCTAAGGAAAGGATCCCTTTGGGGGAGGGGGGATGTCGGAGGGTAGGAAAGGAGGTGAAATGAAAGGTGCAGAAAGGAAGTTCACAAGATGGATGGAAGGGTCTTCAAATCCTTCTAAGTACCCTTCCTTCCTTCCGTCCGTCCATCCGTCCATGCGCCTTTGGGATTGAGTCATGCCGGCCACATGACCACGGAGACATCTTTGGACAGAGCTGGCTCTTCGGCTTTGAAATGGAGATGAGCACCGCCCCCTAGAGTCGGGAACGACTAGCACATATGTGCAAGAGGAACCTTTGCCTTTACCTAAGGGTTTTATAAGGCTTTTGACATCTTCAGGAAAAAAGACAGGTCGACTTCCTTCCAACAAGGCCTTTCTCCCCTCCCCCAGCAAAGACCACTCAGAAGAAGGAGACGACCACTGGTTATTCAGGCCACCTCGCCATAAAACTGGAGCTTCGGCCACCGTGTCTAATGTTGCTATTGTCCAAAGCTGCCACGGACTGGGCCTGGAGGCCTCGCTTTGAATGGAGGCTTCTTTGTGAGTAGCCAAGTGTGAAGAACAGCCCTGCCCTCTGATTCTCCAGGAGCATCGGGAGTAGGACGGGGGAGGATGGGAAGGCACAGGGCCTCATGAATTTTTCCGGGATGAGGAGGAGATAATAATATAATAAGAGAGTAGGGAAATATGGAAGGCACTAAATGGCCCCTTTCTCTCACTATATAATTGTTGGA